GGGGCTCCGGGGGGACGCAGCCTGGGGAGGAGGCGGGGTGCAGCCGGGCGCCGTGGCTCACGCCTGTCATCCCAGCTCTTTGGGAGGTCGAGGCGAGAGGATCGCCGGAGCCCACGGGTTCGAGACCGGCCCGGGCAACTTGGCGACCCCTCGTCTCTGCAATTAACCAAAAAATTTGGGGCCGGGCTCCTGTGGCTCAGCCTGTCATCCCAGCACTCTGGGAGGCCGAGGCAAGTGGATTGCCTGAGCCCGCGGGCTCGAGACCCTCCTGGGCAACTTGGCGAGAGCCCCATCTCTACAATAAATCAAAAAGTTAGCCGGGCGCGGTGGCGCGCGCCTGTATTTCCAGCTACTTGGAAGGCTGAGGCAGAAGGACCGCCGGAGCCCAGCAGGTCGAGGCTGCGGTGGTCGGGACGTGCCACTGCACTGCAGTCTGGGCGACAGAGTGAGACGCCAACTCAAAAGAAAAGAAATCCGGGTGCAAATGCATCCTCCAGGGATGATGTGGGAAGTGGCCTCATACACAGGCCGTGCCCAGCGGGTGGGATGAGTTGAAGCAAGTGAATGCCCCGTCCTGAGGTTCCTGAATCCAGCTGATTGCTAGTGCCCTGTCCCTGATCCCAGTGTGACCTGAACCTTGGTGGTGGAGTATGTGCTCACCTTTCAGTAGGGACACTCCAGTAGGGACACCCTGCAAGCTTCTCCTTCTGCCTTGCTCAACAGCCCTGCTGAGCTGTGGTTCTCCCTGGGAGCCAGGGTGGTTTGGGATTCTTTTTTCTTTTTGAGTTGGAGTCTCACTCTGTCGCCCAGACTGGAGTGCAGTGGCCGCTCCCAGCCACTGCAGCCTCAACCTGCTGGGCTCCGGCCATCCTTCCGCCTCAGCCTTCCAAGTAGCTGGAACTATAGGCGCACGCTACCACGCCCGGCTAATTTTTGATTTATTGTAGAGATGAGGTCTCACCGAGTTGCCCAGGTGGGTCCCGAATCTGCGGGCTCATGCAATCCACTCACCTCAGCCTCCCAACGTGCGGGATGACAGGCTGAGCCACCGAGCCCGGCCTCTTTTTAATTTTTTATTGTAGAGATAGATCTCGCTCTGTTGTCCACGCTGGTCTTGAACTCCTGGCCTCAAGCGGTCCTCCCGCCTCAGCCTCCCAAAGTGCTGGGATTACAGGCGTGAGTCACTGCCTGGCCACTGGGATTCTTTTTTTTAATTTTTAATTTTAAAGATGTGGGGTACAATTCAGGGTTAGGTATACAAATGTTCACCATGCAGGTACCCTTGTTGATGACCCCCCCAGCAGTTTCCTACTGCTGCCAATTCCTTTCTTATGGTATCACAATAGTTGTTCATGGTCCGCTTATGAGTCAGAACAGGTGATACTTGGTTCTTTGCTTCTGTGATAGATCACTCAGTATTATAGTCTCTAAGTCCATCCAAGTTGCTGTGAAGGGGATTCTTTTTGTCGAGCCCTTTTGCTGCCCCTTTGCTGATGACAGTTCTTCCTTCTTTTCTAGGGCATCTTCCTGAGCCCCCTTTTCTGCAAGATGTGGGGATTTTTGAAGCGCCCCATAGTGGTGACCGCTGACATCAACTTGAACGTGGTGGCCCTGACTGGGATGGGGTTGCTGAGCCGGCTGTGGCAACTCACCCACCCCCGGGCTGTGGTGTAAGCCAGATGACTCCCAGGGTGAATCTAGAATTGCCGTTTGCAGCAGCGTGAATGGGAGCCTGAACTCCGGGGCCTCTTGGTGATGGATATTCTTGGCAGTGAGAGGAGAGACCAGTTTGTCCCCAGGATAGGCCTTACAGGCCCTCTAGGTCTTGCCTTCTGGGTCGGCGGCAGGTGAAACTCGACCCATTAAATGGGTGCAGTAGAGGAAAAACTTATAGCTACCAGACCTAGGTAACCATTTGAAAATCTAGAGGGCAGCCTGGCATGGTGGCTCACGCCTGTAATCCCAGCACCTTGGGAGGTGAAGGCGAGAGGACTGCCTGAGCTCAGAAGTTTGAGAACAGCCTGAGCAACATCGCATGACATCATCTCTACAATAAATAAATTTTTTAAAAATTAGCTGGGTGTGGTGACGCATGCCTGTGGTTCCAGCTGCTTTTAAGGCTGAGGCGGAAGGATCACCTGAGTCTGGTAGGTTGATGCTGCGGTGGCCGTGAGCATGCCACTGCACTCCAGCCTGGATGACAGAGTGACTCCAACTCAAAGAAAAAAAAAATCTAAGCCGGGCTCGGTGGCTCAGCCTGTCATCCCGCGCCTTGGGAGGCTGAGGTGAGTGGATTGCCTGAGCCCGCAGGTTCCAGACCCGCCTGGGCAACTTGGCGAGACCTCATCTCTACAATAAATCAAAAATTAGCCGGGCATGGTGGCGCACGCCTGTAGTTCCAGCTACTTGGAAGGCTAAGGCGGAAGGATCACCGGAGCCCAGCAGGTTGAGGCTGCTGAGGCTGGGAACGGCCACTGCACTCCAGTCTGGGTGACAGAGTGAGACTCCAACTCAAAAAAAAAATCTAGAGGGCAGAGGACTGAAGAATTTGGAAGTGAGTCTTCACTGTTGAGAGCACTCAGCACGGCTTTTCTTCCATAATGGGAAATGACTGCTATTATTATCAAAGAGCTGTTTATTAACTGATTAAATGTACGTGCTCTTTTTTGTTGAACTTTTTATTATGGAAAACACCAAACACACGCAGAAGCAGGGAGACTAGTATAATGACCCCCCCCACCAACATGTTCATTACCGAGCTCCAACACTTATCAGTTTATATCCAGCCCCTCCCTGCCATGTATTATTTTCAAGCAAATTCTAAACATTTTATTTATAAATAATTCAACACATATCTCTAAAAGATGAGGATTCCTGAAAATCACAGGTCTGGTGGTGTTCACACCTGTAATTTCAGCACCTCAGGAGGCTGAGGCAGGAAAATTGCTTGAGGCCAGGAGTTCAAGATCAGCTTGGGTAACATGAGACCCCGTCTCTACAAAAAAAAAATTAGGCCGACTTGGTGGCATGCACCTGTAGTCCCAGCTACTTAGGAGGCTGAAGTGGGATGATCACTTGAGCTCAGGAGTTTGAGGCTACAGTGAGCTGTGATCAAGCCACTGCATTCCAGTGTGGGTGACAGAGCGAGACCCTGTCTCTTAAAAAAAAAAAAAATCACATAACCACAATAGCATTATCATGCCTGAAAAATTGACAGCAGTTCCTTTGTATCATCAGATTTCCCCAATTGCCTGAAAACGTTTTATTGCAGTTGTTCCTACATGTTTTCCTTTCACATCTGCAACTGTTTCATTGGGTCACCAGGTCTGATTGCAACTTGTAGTCACAGACTTGTGCAGGTGGCCCTCAGGGGTGGGGATTAGCCTCGTCCCCTGAGGCCTTTCAGTAGGTTGGCTAGTAGTAGACACCTAAAACGAAAACTAGGGAGACGTTAGACTCTGTGTCCTGCATGCTGCATGCCCCTTGTGCTTGCTGAATCTCCCCCCATCCCTGTAGACGGGTGGTGCTTTGTATGTGTCTTACGATTTGGGGATGGACCTGGGTGCCTATAATCCCAGTGCTTTGGGAGGCTGAGGTGGGAGGACTGCTTGGCCCCAGGAGTTTGAGACCAGCCTAAGCAATATAGAAAGACTTCATCTCTATAAAATGATGGGATACATTTGGTGTATAAGATCCAACCTTTGCTGATCACTTACCTAAAGGTGTTTGAGAACATACATTTTTTTCTCACACCTTTTGTTTACAGTTAAGATTCCTAACAATGTAATGTGGATTTTTCTTTTCAGTTTTGATGAAGTGTATTATGGGCAATACATCTCTTTCTACATGAAACGGATCTTCTTTTTGGATGACAGTGGACCACCATTTGGCCATATGCTGCTGGCTTTGGGAGGTAGAACTGATTAATAAGAGGAGTAGCCTTCACCTTTCAGGACCTCAGATATGTTTCAAGTTTATCAGCATTCTTAAGGGCAGTAAACTTGTCTTCTTTTTTAAGGAGCACATAACCAGAAACCATGTCTTATTGATTTATCTTTTCTCTTTGTTGCTTGCTATAGTACTCCAGAAATATTTGCTTACTGAGATAGTTACTGACGAATCTTCTGTTTTAGGTTATTTAGGAGGATTTGACGGTAACTTTTTGTGGAACAGAATTGGAGCAGGTAAAAGATACTTTTCATTTCCTTTATTAATGTGCACATGTTAGAATGGAAAGAAAGTAGTTTTCCTAGGGATTAACAACTGTGGTTTATTCATCAGAGTCACCAGGGCATAATAAATTATCCTGGTACAAGTAAAAGAGTTTTGAAAAGTCCATAAAAACCTTAGTGTTGGCCAGGCACGGTGGCTCAAACCTATAATCCCAGCACTTTGGGAGGCAGCGGCAAGAGGATTGCCTGAGCCCAGGGGTTCAAGACCAGCCTGGGCAACTTGGTGAGACCTCGTCTCTACAATAAATTAAAAAAAAAAAATTAGTGCGCCTGTAGTTCCGGCTACTTGGAAGACTGGGGCAGAGGGATCGCCTGAGCCCAGCAGGTGAACACTGAGGTAGCTGTGAGCATGCCACTGCACTCCAGCCTGGGCGATGGAGTGAGACTCCAACTCAAAAAACCCTTAATGTTTAGTTACAGTAATTATTTCATCCCTGGTTTTTCATACATGCAACATGTAGCATCTGATTGCAGTTATCTTTTATATGTATAAGTTTTGTGTGTTGCCACGATGTTTTTGAAAATAGGTGGGATAAGTTATAAGTAAGTGAAACAATCATTTCAGAATTCTTAGATCTCATTCTGGTGCTTAGTGAGAGCCAGTTTCTTGACTGACAAGCTCATTTCAAAGCCTTTACCCATAGTCTGCGCACTCAGTTGCTGCTTTTGTGAACTGGGACTTTCAAGTCTGTGAACGTGATACTCTGTTTGAAAGCACGCCTGTAGTGTGTGGGGCCTTCAGCTCTGCCTGCATTTGCTTTTCCAGAATACAGTAGCAACGTGCCCGTGGGGTCCCTGCGCCTGTTGCCGGCACTCGCGGGGGCCTTGTTGGTCCCCATGGCCTATCAGATCCTGTTGGAGCTCCACTTCTCGCACTGTGCTGCCATGGGGGCTGCTCTCCTGGTGCTCATTGGTAAGCCTAGGCCGACCCTCTCTGGATGAACGAGGCAGAGTGCGCTTTGTTACCACACGGCATGAGACCCACAAGAGCGTGCAGGTTTAGAGAGCCTCCAGGTTTAGAGAGCCTGCTGGAGTACTGTAGAAGGTGCATCTGGTTTATCCAGATTTGCCTCTGTAAATCACCCAGGTGGACCCCTCGGCTCTGAGATTGCTGAGCTGTGGGGTCGGACTTTTGTCCACAGTGGGGGTGTGGCCATATAAAACTGCTCAGAAGGTGCTCAGGGCACACATATGTGTGAGCACCTCCGTCTCCAGCCAAGCCTGCCCCCAGATGATGACTTACCCTCATTCCAACTCCTCCCAGGCCTCTGCTGATGGAGCCAGACTCATGAGTTAGTGGATACTCTTCAGAAAGGATCTTTCAGCTCAGGTGTACAAACTGGCAAAATTAAATCAAGTAACAAGTTAGACTAGAAAGTGAAAAGGGACTGTTTATTGAGTGGCGACTCTATGAGGCCCCGTGCCTGTGTAATATCTTAATATTCTCAGCAGCCCTACAAAGTTGATGTTACTTCTGCAAATGAGAAAAATAAAGACTCAGAAAAACTAAGTGGCTTGCCCAGGCCCACAGAGTTAAGTGTCACTAGGTGTGATCCCCACCTGAGGAGATGTTCTCATGGCATGGAGCGTGTCCCCTTCCAGCCACCACTTTCTGAACGTCCCCCTTCACGTTGTGTCACTTGGGGACATTGCTGTCTGTCTTAGTTAAGCCTTTTTGTGAATGTTTTTTGTCTTTGAACGTTTACCCTTGTACCTTAAAACTGACATGCATTTCCTCTTTGTAACAGAGAATACTCTCATCACCCAGTCAAGGCTGATGCTTCTGGAGTCCATGTTAATATTTTTTAATCTGCTGGCTGTGTTGTCCTACCTGAAGTTTTACAACTGCCAGAAACACAGGTACAGAAAATAGGAGGGGGTGGGGGTGGGCGGTGCATCTTTCTCAGCTAATGAGAAAAAAGATTGTGGATGGCTCTTTGACCTGAGATGACCTGGTATCTTTTTAAGGAGTTGCCTTCTCGTCTCCTAATATTTTGGAGGTTGTTCTGTGGCTCATGTCTTCATAAATGCGTCCTCCTTTTTCTATAACTTAAACTAGCAGGAGCAAGTTTCTGGACAAAAGAAAAGTTCTGCCAGACAGGTCCTCTGGGTGCTGGAGAATCTTTTTGACTATGCCTGGTGCTTAGTACAGCCGGCCGGCCAGAAGATTTCTCTGAGAAGTGTGTGGCTTCTCTGGCCTTTAGGAAACTGAACAACTCCTATCTCCATCAACTCTGTTTTCTGTTTTTCTTCCAGCCCTTTCTCTCTGAGATGGTGGCTTTGGCTGACACTGACTGGGGTTGCTTGCTCCTGTGCCATGGGGTGAGTCTGATCCCCGGGCTTGGGCACCATCCTCTCCTCGTGTTTCTTGTCTCGTTTTGACTTTGTTTCAATTCTGTCTTTCAGCATCAAGTACATGGGTGTGTTCACGTACCTGCTGGTGCTCGGCGTGGCGGCTGTCCATGCCTGGCACCTGATTGGAGACCGGGTTTTGTCCAACGTAGGTGCTGATGTCCAGGCTGCGTCAGGCTGGCCTGTGTGGGGCAGGCAGGGGATGTCACAGGAAGTATTTGGCAGAAAGTCCCGAATCCCCAAGCTTTAGCAGCAGACGGGTCTGGGCAGCCTCACCTGTCAACCTCCATGGAGAGGTTGGAGCTTCTGTCACCACCTTTCCAAGCCCGTACAGTCTGGAAGTGGGCATGCCTTCTGTGTGGCTGGAGGTGATGCTTCCCGACCTTTCTGGCAGGTCTGCGTGTTCTGCCACTTGCTCGCCAGGGCAGCGGCTTTGCTGGTCCTCCCGGCCATCCTGTATGTGCTGTTCTTCTATGTCCACCTGGCTCTGCTCTACCGCTCTGGGCCTCACGACCAGGTCATGTCCAGTGCCTTCCAGGCCAGCTTGGAGGTAAGGAGTGGCCTGCACAGCCGCGTGAGAAGGGGGGTGGAGTGGACTCAGAGGCTCTTAGACATTGTCAAGTGAGCATTGGAGGAGAGCCAAATCGAGACATGGGGACTTTGCGTCAGCATTTCTAAACCAATTCTGACTCTGCTGGTGCTGTGGAGCAGATGGAGGGGTCAGCTCTCTTAACTTTTCAGTCTGACTTGCTGAGAACATTTTAGTAAAGTCCTGCAAGCCCTGGGCAGCTCCAGTGTCGGACAGGACAGACTCTGACTTTGTTCATAAAAACGTAGCTGTAGTTCTATGTACCAGCGGAGGCTCAGGCCTGCAGACCCTGAAGCCAGCGGGCCTGCTGCCTAACCTGCTTGCCCGTGGCTGGTGTATGCGTTTGCACAGATTACTTGATCCACTCAGGCTCAGTTTCTCATCTCCTTTTTTTCGGAATCGAGGTCTCCCTCTGTTGTCCAGGCTGGAATGCAGTGGCACGATCATGGGCTTGACCCTTTGGGCTCAGGTGATCCTCCTATCTCAGCCTCCCAAGTAGCTGAGACTATAGACATGCGCCGCTGTCTAATTTAAAAAAATTTTTGTGGAGATTGGGTCTTGCTGTGGTGCCTAGATTGGTCTCAAACTCCTGGACTCAAGCACTCCTTGCACCTCAGCCAAAGTGCTGGGATTACAGGCACAAGCCACGGCGCCCGCCTTCTCGTCTCTTGAATAGACATGACTGCCCTTGTCTCATAGGATGCTTGTCAGAACTAAATGCTGTGTGAGTGGAGGGCTCAGCTGAGTGCCTGGCCCAGAGGCAGCCTTCAGTCAGAAATAGCTCCAATTATGATTCTGCAATGTAACATGACATGATTAAATGATAGAGAATTATAACTAATTGTGTAACAAGTTACCACTATGCCAAATATTATCCCGGAAGGAGGTGTGGCTGGCAGGAGGACTGGCTTAGGTGTACCGTTCTCTCACTCACCGACCTTTCTACTTTTGTCTTAGGGGGGACTGGCTCGGATCACCCAAGGCCAGCCGCTGCAGGTGGCTTTTGGGTCCCAGGTCACCCTGAGGAACGTCTTTGGCAAGCCCTTGCCCTGCTGGCTCCATTCCCACCAGAGCACCTACCCCATGATGTAAGGAAAGTGACTGTTTTAATTTGAAGGTTAAAAAATGTTTTTTTCTCCTAATTTTTCTTATCTTGGCGACTTAAGTTTGTAAGCCGGAAGGAAGTTGAGCTTTGGGTGCTGATCGCCAGTGAGAGTTGTGGTTTCTGAGTGGGACGGCTGTAGGGACTTGGTGTGCCACGGGTCCCAGTGTGCCTGGCGTCGGCTCCACGGCTTTCCTGGCCTCAGTGCTGCCAAGTCCTCCCATTCTCTGACCCCTGATAGATTGAGGCTTCTTGTCATGTCTTTGTTTTCCCTGAAATACTCTGCTAGGTGGAGAGGCCTGCAGGCCCAGAGACGGACCCACCTCCCAGTACATGTTTGTGTTGTCTTCTTCATGCAGATATGAGAATGGCCGGGGCAGCTCCCACCAGCAGCAAGTGACCTGCTACCCCTTCAAAGATATCAACAACTGGTGGATCGTAAAGGATCCTGGGAGGTGAGTGTGGGCCCCAGCACTGCAGAGCGGAGCTCACCTCTTGGCCTGGCCAGACGAGACCCTGGGGCCAGGGGTCCCTCTTCTCTGTCTGTGCGCCCTCCCTCACCAACCCCGGTCATCATGGGCACAAGGCCAGTGCCAGCAAGTCCGAGGTCGGGGAGTAGGTGGTCAGACCCACTGTAAACTGCGTGTTCAGTAGCTCCTCCTGAGAGTGTTACAGGCAGGCCTCGACTTCCCCCTCCCTGCGTCCCTCCCCGCCTCCCCTCACCGTCTCCTGCCACCTGTTCCCTCCTTACAAGAACAAGAACCTGGCTGGGCTCGGTGGCTCAGCCTGTAATCCCGCGCTTTGGGAGGCCGAGGTGAGTGGATTGCCTGAGCCCGCGGGTTCGAGACCTGCCTGGGCAAATTGGTGAGACCCATCTCTACAATAAATCAAAAAAATTAGCCAGGTGTGGTAGCGCACGCCTGTAGTTCTAGCTCCATGGAAGGCTGAGGCGGAAGGATCACCAGAGCCCAGCAGGTTGAGGCTGCAGTGGCTGGGAGCGGCCACTGCACTCCAGTCTGGGCGACAGAGTGAGACTCAAAGAAAAAAAAATAAAAAAATAAAAAAAAGAACAAGAATCCACCCATCCCCTTGAACCTGGCATCGGCTTGCTCGGGTCCCAAATGGAGGCCCCCTGGCTCACATCCCTCGTCTAGTCTGTGGCTTCTGCTCTCACGTGAGGTCTCGCGCAGTCTCGTCTGTTCCCCCTGCTGGTCTTCTCCCACCACTGCCCTCCTCAACCCCCAGCTCTAGCCCCTGCAACCTGAGTGGCCTTTCCAGATGTGATTGTGTCAGGCCGCTCTCCTACCCAGACCCCCTCTGAACCTCCATTGCCACAGAACGAAGCCCCTGCATGATACAGCCCCGCCCCGGCTTTTGGCCCTGACCTGGCCACCCTGGCACACACTTGCCCATTCGCATCTCTAGAGCAGGACAGGCTCCTTGTTACTGAAAGTGAAGGACGGCTTCAGGGAGGCTTCCTGAGCTTGCCCTCCAGGGCACCACCTCCCCCGCCAGGGCCCGTGGGCCTCCTTGTGGCCTGGTCGCGAGCTTGCTGGCGTGAACGTGTCTGTCTCCTGCTCACCATCTGATTCCCAGCCCCTACAGCAATGGGAGGGCAGCGGGGACTGTCCAGCTCGTTCGACCACACACTCAGCAGCCAGCCCGGGGGCTGGGACGTGACAGACTCTTAATATACTTTTCTTGACTTAGTATGGAACAAGAGTCGGTCTCACCTGGTTATCCTGCCAGTTTAATTATTTAAAATAACTTTTTTCTAGTCAGGGGTTTCACCATCACCCAGGCTGGAGTACGGTAGCACAATTGTGGCTCACCATAGCCTCAGCCTCCTGGGTTCAGACAGTCCTCCCACCTCAGCCTCCCGAGGAGCTGGGACTACAGCCATGCTCCACCATGCCCGGCTAAAGTTTTTGATTTTTTGGGTAGAGACAAGGTCTTGCTATGTTGCCCAGGCTGGTCTCACACTCCTGGACTCAAGCGATCTTACCACCTCGGCCTCCCAAAGCGTTGAGCCACCATGCCCAGCCCTAAAACAATTTTTTTAAAAAGGAGGGGGGTAGCCGGGCTCGGTGGCTCAGCCTGTAATCCCGCGCCTTTGGGAGGCTGAGGTGAGTGGATTGCCTGAGCCCGTGGGTTCGAGACCCGCCTGGGCAGTGAGACCTCATCTCTACAATAAATAAAAAAATTAGCCGGGTGTGGTAAGGCGCGCCTGTAATTCCGGCTACTTGGAAGGCTGAGGTGGAAGGATCGCTGGAGCCCAGCAGGTCGAGGCTGCGGTGGCCGGGAGCAGCCACTGCACTCCGGTCTGGGGGACAGAGTGAGACTCCAACTCAAAAAAAAAAAAAAAAAGGAGGGGGGTGGGAGAGTGTCCATCTGTCAGAAGAAGGATTTCTTGGCAGTCATGGTGTATTTGTCACTGTCACACTTGTAGACAAACACAGTGACTTGCAGATGGGACCACACTTAGCAAGTGGCCTAATGTTTCAGAAGAGTTCAGTTAAACACGTGTGTCTGGTGGTCTATGAATTCACCCTCATATGGCCCACGTGGGGCAGGAGAGGTCTCTGCCATGCGGCTCTGGGGCCCTCCTGGCAGGCCCCTAGCATGGTGCCACATCCCACAGGCATCAGCAGGTAGTGAGCAACCCCCCACGGCCTGTGCGGCATGGAGATGTGGTGCAGCTCGTCCACGGCATGACCTCCCGCCTGCTCAACACGTGAGTACGCCTCCCCCGCCCCATTCTCTCGCCCGCATGGTTCTCCTCAGGGCCACCCAGAGACGCTGCCAAGGCCACACCTTGTCTCCCCCACCCAAGGACTGTGTGAGGTCTGAGAGAAACCGGGGCTGGCAGCTAAGGGAGGGATTGGGAGGGCGTGGCGCCTTGGCGAGGGCCAGGCGGAGGCACCCAGTGCTCCCCAGTGTGAGAGCTCAGAGGCTGGGCCGAGGCTGTCGACAGTGGGTGAGGAGCACATGGGCTGGCCACTTGAAGGAGGTGTGGGCACTCCTCGTGTGACATGGGAGTGAGTTCAAGGAGGACTTCTGTCTGCATAAACCGAGCCACACAGTTTCTTCTCTGCCAGCTCTTACCCTTATCTGACTGCCTTCTGGGCAGTGTTGGGCACGGTTGTTCCTGGCCTCGTCCTCCGTCACGGGCTTCTCTCTGGCCCCCCGCCCTCGTTCTCAGCCTCCTCTTGAGACCTGCCTGTTGCGTGCCCTCGCGTGGGCTCAGTCCTGGGGCCCTTACTCTACCTGCCCAGCTCTCCGGTCTCACCTCTGCTCTCCGTGGCCCCTGTCTCATGTCCTGGTCCAGCTTTCCCCACGGACGCCCGAGGCCCTGCAGCTCCCAGGGAAGAGCTGGTGACCTGTGCATCACCTTGACGCCTCCCTGTCCCGTTCTGCGTCTGTCCGCCAGGAGATCCTGCGGTCGCGCCCTTCAGAACTGACCCCGCAGGGACCCTGCCTTCTCCCGTCACTCCCCATCCACCAGGCCCTGCTTCCTTTGTCCCGGCTTCCTGCCTCCCCTCACGCCCCACGTGGCCACCCTATGGGCCTGTGACGTCCCACTGGGCTCAGTGTTTCCCCTGCTGGGGTCCCTGGCAACTCCTGACATGCTTCACCCTGTCAGTCTGGGCTCTCTGCGTCCCCACTAACCCAGCTGGCAAGTGCAGCCCCTGCTATAACGTCCTTGGACTTGGCTCGCCCACGGCCCCCTCGCCCACCCCGTTCAGGTGTCCACTGAGTGTCACCACATCAGAGAGCCTTTCCTGGGAGCTGCCCCCACCCTGTTAGTTTTCTCTGCGGCCCTCCCACAGCGGTGCACTGTGGCCACCAGTGCGGGTGGCTGTTTCCCAAAGAGCTGTGAGGGCCAGTCTTGTTCACGGCCGGGTCACCGCCTCCTAGTGGTGCCAGGTGCGTGGTGTGATACAGCGATCACTGAGTGTGTGAATGCAGGGGAAATGGGTGTTTCTGAACTTTAAGGTTGATTATCACAGAGGACAGCCCTGTCCCCCGGGTCCGCTGGGCATGGGCCTGGGCAGCACTGCACCTCTAGGTTCTCTGTCGGTGCTGTGCTGGGCTGGGTCAGGTTCTCACGGCAGCTCATGTGGTATTGGTTCCTTCCTCTGAGACCTGGCCCACTCATCCATCCACTGAGTGGTGTGGTGACACCCACTGTATTTTACTCCAAGGCTAAGACTCCGCAGAGTGTGCTTCCCCCGGGAGATGTGGAGGCTTCTTCTGCCTTCTCAGTGCTTCTCCACTGCCTCAGCGTGTGCAGTCTGGGTGGTGACCGCTGATGGGGTTGGGTTGTCCTTTAGGGCTGAGCTGGCTTAGTTTCTGAAAAGCAGCTTTTCCCGGAAGAGACAGTAGCTGCCTCTCCAAGGAGTACAGAGAATCCCTCCTGAAAGCCCTGTCTGCGTTGGTCTCCCAGGCATGACGTCGCGGCCCCGCTGAGCCCCCACGCACAGGAGGTCTCCTGCTACATCGACTATAACATCTCAATGCCCGCGCAGAGCCTCTGGAAACTGGTGAGTGTCGCTGGGACTGGGCAGGCCGCCAGGCAGGCTGCTCTATCGGGCGTGCATGCTTTCTCACACAGAACCTTAGCAACTGCCATGTCTGGAGTGATTCAAGTTCAGATGCAAAATCACTTAGTTCATTCATAAAATAGAGGAGTTTCACCGGGAGCAGATGCCTCCTCCTGCATGGATCCTGGGGTCTGGAGGCTTCATGTACCAGGCAGGAGTTTGCTCAGAGGTTGTCTGCTTTGGGTTTGCTTTGGGCCCGGCTCTGTGTGCTCTGGGGCTTGGCCAGGTGAACATTCTCCCAACCTGTTCAGCTTCAAGACAGGGTCCTAAACATGGGACATGCACCCTGGCCACCCCATGACCAGGAGAAGCACCTCTCAGTCAGTCCCCAGAAGGGACGTTTCTCAGATTTCTCTGGGGAGAGGCTTGGCCAGCAGAGCAGGGGATGTTCCCGAGACTGCTGGGCCTATGCTCGCCTCTCCGCCGAACACCCAGGACAACGTGCTCCCCTCACAGAATCGCGTCTCCTAGGCCCGTCTCACAAAGAAGGGTTCCGCTCTTGGGTCACGTCATGTCTGTGCACCTGAGGGCGTGGTGCCCAGTGCAGCTACATCCCTGGGATCGCAGCCGTGTGCTGGGCTGATTTCTGTGGCGACGGTCCCGCTCTCCTTCAGGCCTCTGGGGGCCTGTAGCGGCTCCACTCACACTAGCTCCCCCACTTGGTTCTCGATAGTGTGAGTGCCACGTGCCTGCTGGGCTGCCCTGGCTGCGAGGCCCGGCGTCGGCTGGCTTCCCGGTTTTGTGCGGAGCCAGCCCCTTCTGCCTTCTCTGTGCCCCACGTACTTGTGTCTGCACCCTCTGTGTCTCCCTCTTCTCCTCCGTGGTCCTGCCTCGGCGTGAGTTCCACGTACCTGCCCCTCGAGGGGAGCGCTCCCCAAGGAAGGTTACAGTGACAGTCCCGCCTGTTCTGTTCCCGATCCCTTTGACATCCTGCTGCTGATCTCCTCTCATCCTCCACCTTGTCCTCCTCTGCCCTTCTTTTTTGAATCGGGGTCTCACTGTGTCACCCAGGGTGGAGTGCAGTGGCACAATCACAGCTCACCACAGCCTCGACCTCCTGGGCTTAGGTGATCCTTCTGCCTCAGCCTCCCAAGTAGCTGGGGCAGCAGGTGCGTGCCATCATGCCTGGCTTTTTTTTTTAATTGTAGAGACAAGGTCTTGCTAAGTTGCCCAGGCTGGTCTCGAACCCCTGGACTCAGCCAATCCTCTTGCCTACGCCTCCCGAAGTGCTGGATGACAGATGTGAGCCTCCTTTTTGATGGCACTGTCATCACCTGGCTCCCACAGCTCATAGAACAGGACAGGAGGAGCGTGTCGGGAGTGGGTTCCCTGCCACAGGGTGGGGCCTGGGCAGGCCTGCTGGGTTCCTCCCAGGGCCCTGCTCCCATGAGCCTCTGGGCTCATTGGTTCTTGTCAGTGAAACGGGAAAAATGACGGTGTGTGAGTGTGGGGCCATCGTGAGGCCTCCGCCTGTCAGGATGTGGCAGCGCAGGGTGCTCTGCAGGTGTCAGTTGTCTTTTTTATGACCCAGCGCTGCATCCTGCAGGGCCAGTGGCCAGTCTTCCCTGGCAGCGTCTCTGAGTCCTGCCAACTGAGGGATAAGAAGCGCTCGCTGTCTGGCCAGAGCGCGGTGCCTCTCGTGAACGGGCAGCCCTGGGCAAAGGCTCGCGGAGCAGCAGGCCGGGCAGCCTCTTGCGGGAAGCATCTGGCGTGGACCCTGCAAGGAGGATGGTGTGCTTCCCTCAGCCCTTGCCCAGCACGGGTGTTGTGGGTGTTGTGCAAGAGTGCCTGGCTCTGTCCCTGGGGGCTTCCCTGGCTTAGGGCTTGTCTCGAATCGCAGACACGAAAAGGCTTCTTTCTTTCCCTCTTGTGTCCGCGGTGAGGTTCTCAGTCTGTCGTCGCCCGGGCTGGAGTGCCGTGGTGCCATCACGGCTCATCGCCGCCTTCGCCCTCGGGCTTAGGCAGGCCTCCCGCCTCAGCCTCCTAAGGAGCTGGGACTGCAGGCACACACCACCACACCTGGCTAACTTTTAAAGTGTTTTTGCAGAGACGAGGTCTCAATATCAATGTTGCCCAGGCTGATCTCGAACGCCTGGGCTCAAGCAGGCCTCCAGCCTCAACCTCCCAAGGGATTGCAGGTATGAGCCCCTGTGCCCCGCTCCCAAATTGACTGTATTGTTTGGAAACTGGTTTTTATTTTTATGTTGAAGGAAATTTGGAAAGGAATGCAGTAATCGAGGTATGCTGGGCACGGTGGCTCACGCCTGTCATCCCACCACTTTGGGAGGCCGAGGTGAGAGGATTGCCTGAGCCCGGGGGTTCGAGACCGGCCCAAGCAACTTGGCGAGACCTCGTCTCTACAGTAAATAAAAAAATTAGCCAGGCATGGTGGCAGGTGCCTGTGGTTCCAGCTACTTGGAAGGCTGAGGTGAAGGATCACCTGAGCCCAGCAGGTCGAGGCTGCGGTGCCCATGGGCGTGCCACTGCACTCCAGCCTGGGCAGAGTGAGATGCCAACTCGGGGGAAAAAAAATCAGCAAGGTGTGTTTTTGTAGGACATTGTAAACAGGGAATCAGACACCGAAATCTGGAAGACCATCTTGTCAGAGGTCCGCTTTGTGCACGTGAATACATCAGCCATCTTGAAGGTAAGGGTGCAGCCGGCTTGCCTGTCTGAGGCTGTGGGCTCCAGGCTGTTCACCGAGCCGAGCAGGCCACACCTGGTGAAAGTCACTGCGTGTTTCTTCTACTCGGAGGGAGGGAGGTTATTCTAACTTCTCAGGATGCTGTCCTAACAGGATGCTCCTGCGGGGACATCTGCAGACAGAGTGACCACCTAGGGGAAGACTCAGCTTTCACGCCCTTTTCCTTCCAGCTGAGTGGGACGCACCTCCCCGACTGGGGCTTTCGGCAGCTGGAGGTGGTCGGGGAGAAGCTGTCGCGGGGCTATCATGGGAGCGGGGCGTGGAACGTGGAGGAACATCGCTACGGCACGAGTGAGTCCGGCGGGCCCGCGTGTCGGGGACTGAGCACCCCCCACCTCGATGACACCCAGCTCCCTCCCTGCGCGCGGCTGCACCTGGGACCACTCGGGACACGCCCTCTGCGCCAGAAGGTCCGGGCGTCCCAGGGCGGTGCCTTCCAGGCACCAAGCGGCCTGCCTGGGCGGGTGGCCCTGGGCGGGGCGGGAAACGAGGGGGGGAGCCGCAGCCCCATGGAGCTGTGGGCTGTGGGGAGGCTGCTTTTGCCGAGCGTACAGCGTCTGTTCTGAGCCCGCTGACCTCGCTCTCCTGCTGTCCCTTGTGCTCTGGAACGTTCTGCCAGGCCAGGAGCAGAAGGAGCGGGAGCTGGAGCTGCACTCGCCCACACAGGCTGACCTCAGCAGGAACCTCAGCTTCATGGCCAGGTTCTCAGAGCTGCAGGTGACTCGCGGCGGGGGAAGCCTGGGTCTGCGGGGCCCTTACCTCATGGTCAGGCTTTCAGCTGGAACCCGGGCTCAGGAGAACGAGCGTCTCCTCTCTCCCCAGTAAAAGTGGCCACGAGCCCATGTCCTGGTCCTGCCATCAGGAGCGGGTCCCGCAGTGTCCCTAAGGCCCCTGGTCCAGCCACAGTCAACGTAGTAGAAGCTCGGAGACCCCAGTCTGCAAGGGACCTCCGAGAGCCCTGAGCCCCATCAGCAGCAGAGGCGGCGGCTGGCCGTGGGGTGGGGCGAGCCTCCGAGGCCAGAGCGGGGCTGGAGTCCAGCTTCTCGGCATGCTGCCGCCTGGCAGAATGCACGGGACGTGAGGTGGGCCAGCTCGCACGCCAGGGGCAGCAGTGGCTCAGCCCCCTTCAGCAGAGCCCGCCTGCAGCGGGGCGTCTGCTGCCCGTGTCTGAGTCTCTGCATTGTTCCAGTGGAGGATGCTGTCGCTGAGGAGTGATGCCTCGGAGCACAAGTACAGCTCCACCCCGCTGGAGTGGGTCACCCTGGACACCAGCATTGCCTACTGGCTGCACCCCAGGACCAGCGTAAGTGTGTGCGCCTGACCCGGGCAGGTCTGGTTGGTGAGGATTCCTTCTGGCATCAAGCGTAGCCACTGTGGCCGGGTGTGGTGGCTCAAGCCTGTAATCCCAGCACTCCGGGAGGCCAAGGAGGCGAACTGCCAGCACCCGCGGTTTGACTCGGCAGGACTTCATCTCTGCAATAAAAAATTAAAAAATTAGCTGGGTGTGGGAGTGCACACCTGTAGTTCTGGCTATGTGAAAGGCTGAGGCGGAAGGATCGCCAGAGGCCACAGGTTGATGCTGGGGTGGCCGTACCATTGCACTCCAGCTTGGGTGACATAGTGAGACTCCAGCTCAGAAAGAAAAAAAAGAGTAGCCACTGTGAGGCTGGGTGCGGGGACTCCTGCCTGTAATCCCAGCACTTTTGGAGGCCAAGGAGGGAGGGTCGCTGGAACCCAGGAGTTCAAGACCAGCCTGGGCAACATAGTGAAACCTCATCTCTACAAAAAGTCAAATAATTAGCCAGGTGTGGTGGCGTGCACCTGTAGTCCCAGCTACTCAGGAGGCTTGAGGTGGAAGGAGCACCTGAGCCCAGGGGTTTGAGGTTACCGTGAACTATGATTGCACCACTGCACTCCAGCCTGGGTGAGTGAGACCCCGACTCAAAAACAAAAAAGCAGCCACTGCATCCTAGAAAGTCCTGGGTTGCTCCAAAGCCTTTCCTGACAAAGGCCTGTGACTGACTTTCCTCTAAAGGCTCTGGCAGCAGGGAGTCACTCCCAGCAGATGCCCAGGGGTAAGGTCCTAGCAAGTTGCCTGGGGCAGGAAACCCAGGCTTTGGCGCCTTTGTGGTGCATGTAGCTCCCTGTTTCCTGGCAAAAGTGGCTTCTAAAGCTTCCCATCTTGTTTCTGCCTCGCGCCTTGTGGCCGCGCGTGCTGGCTGGTGTGTCGCCCTTCCTCAGCCAGTGGAGGGAAGGGGCCGCTAGGGTTGGCTCGGAGTCGCTGCCCAACAAGCGTTCCCAGGGCCAGCAGACAGAGGACACGCTCCTGTCTCCCCCTCATTCACAAGTGGGAGGAGGCTGCTCAGGGGCGGGAAAGACCTGGAGCAACCAGGGTCCCTCCTGGCTCGTGCGCTATCCCTGTGCAGACAGCTCTGCCGTTACAAAGAGAATTTCACAAAACTGAGCGTCTGCCTGGTCCTTGTGGCGTGAGGCCCAGCGGGTGCTCAGGCGCGCCTGGGCCTGGTTTTCTTTCCGCCTCCCCTCCCGAGCAGGGGCCGGCGGCTGACGCTCTCCTGTGTGTGTCCAGGCCCAGATCCACCTGCTTGGGAACGTGGTCATCTGGGCTTCGGGCAGCCTGGCCACAGCCGTCTACGTCCTGCTGCTGCTGTGGTATCTGCTCCGTCGGCGGAGACGCGTCTGTGACCTTCCCGAGGGTCAGTGCCGCCCTGCCGTGGCGGGTGTTCGTGTGTCTTCCTTCTCGTTCTGATGCGGGTCCCGGGTGCTGGGGGGACAGCCAGCCTTCACCCTTGAGGTGCCTGTCTCTGCCTTGTGGGAGCCTCCTTTTGCCTCGTCCCTGGGGTTAGGCTCCCGCATCTCGGCGCAAGCTTCTTCAAAGGGCAGCGTGCCGGCAGGCAGGGCGTGCTGTCTAACCCTGGCCCCGTGTTGCCTGCATGTGTGGAGACGGCTGACTCGAGCAGCAGCCAGCAGGCGTCTTCGTCAGGGTTGGGAGTTTGCACCAGAAACCCCCCTCAACCCAAGCAGGAGAGGGAAGCCCGCCAGAGCAGGGCAGGTTTCCCGAGGGTCTGGTCCCGGGCCCCAGAGACCATCAGGAGCAGAGGGTACCTTTGCCCTGTGAAGGAGTCTGTCTCTGCTTGCTCTGGGAGCCGGGTCCCTTCTCCCTGCTGCCTCTCCCTGCTCTGCGGGGCTGGCGGACGAATACGGCCCCTCTGCAGTTCCCAGGGGTCTCTGGCCATGTCTGTCTGTTTTGCACTGCTCTAAAGGAGTCTCTGAGGCTGAGGAGCATAGAAACAGGAGAGGCTTATTTGGGGGTCCCAATTCCGTCTGGTGCTGGCATCTGCGGGGCTCCTGGTGAGGCCTCAGGGGGCTTCCAGGCCTGGCGGAAGGTGGGCAGGGAGCAGGTGTAGCGCGGGGCAAGAGCAGGAGCCAGCGGGGGAGGCGCCAGGCTCCTGGGCGACCAGCTCTCGCGTGGACCACCAGAGTGAGAAGGGCACCAAGCCACTCACAAGGGACGTGCCCCAGGACCCAGACACCTCCCACTGGGCGCCACCTCCGGCCCTGGGGCTCACATTCCGACGAGCCGGGGAGCGCTGTAGCCGAGGACAAACGCCCAAGCCACTCGCAGCCCGACTTGGAGTTCCCAGACGGTCCTGACTGCCCCAGTTGGATCAGACCCCCCGCGGGGCGGTGAGCCGGGCCCACCTGGAGTCCAGAACAGAGACCAGGCTTGGGAGCTGGCTTCTCTCAGAGGGGCGTTGTGAGGCCCCCGGAGGCAGCTGCAGAAGGTTCCTTCTTCCGGCGGGAGCGGGCGGGGTTGGGAGGCGGAAGTCAAGGCTGAGGCTGGCCCGCTCCCCCCGCAGAGGCCTGGCTGCGCTGGGTGCTGGC